AATTTGTAATAACTTTCTTGAAGTAACTTACCCAAGCACTGGGATAGTTTCTTATGTGACAAGACTTCTGTGGGATTATGTTTGTGTTTGTTGATTAAATGTTAGGGTTAGGAGAGATGAATTTGTAATGGCCTTTAAAGAGATAAAACAGAAATATCCTTAAGAAGTGTTTCTTTGGAAAAAATACTGTCAAATACGGTCAAGTTGACAAATTGGAACATCAAATATTCTCAATGAAAGATAATCATCATATCCACTTGTCTTGACTGTTGGCAGTGATAGTGAACAATCATCATGATAACTGTGTATTCTGGGGTGTACTGATGTGGAGCGCTGAGGCAAGATGTCTTTCTTTCTTTCTTTTGTTCCCGCACTTCATTTTGCGGCAATTTTCAGCTCAACGTTGTGGATAGTGCAGTGAAAAAGGCTGCAGAACATGCTATCAGCCCATTATCCTGTTGGCACTGAGGTTTGACGAGTGATTTGCACACAGCGGGGACGAGGCCTGGGAATGAGCCGCGAGACGAGTAAATATAACTAATGCTGCACTGTAATTATGCCTGTGATAAGACCCACTTATGAGACCCCAGAAGAGGGGCCCCAGACTGGGGAAAACCAGTACAACAATATCCAGTGCTATTGACCTGCCTGTTTAAAGAGAAATACTATCATTTATGTTTACTGCTGCTCCACTTTGGGCCATAAAGACACTTTTATTTGGTTGGGGCTTTGTAGAAATTACCTGTATAATTGTTTTCTTGTTTTGCTGAAATCCAGAGAAGCAGTCTTAATACGCTTAATAATGCAACCACACAAAGGTTTGAGCAAAAATGATGCTGGTAGATACTTCTATTCTACATAAACTACCTTGTATCCTATATTTTTGTTTTACTTTTTAACTGTTCGCACATTCCCTGTCTGTTTGCACCCCAGAGGGATCTTATTGAGGTCAGATGTAACATGTAAATTCCTCCATCGTGAGATCAATAAAATGAATCTTATCTTAGTTTCTTTACAGATCAATTTGAGATCTGTAAAGAGATTCATAAAAGGCTGGCGAGATAAATGAAATGGAAAATATAGCTGTGAATATTTGAGTTTTTAATGTTTGTATTTGTAATGCAATCAGATTCTCCCTGCTTTCTGATGGTGAGTCCAAGGACATAGGATCCTCAGGTATAGGATTTTCAACTTTCTTAATTCCTCTTAATTTGTATTGATTTTGAACACTTTCCTTTGATAGATGTATACTTATTTGTTATTTGTTAATCAACCATATCTCTAAACTCTTCTGTTTCACCTTTACCTCCCAGATTAGAGCCAGTGCCAGTTACCCTAGCAACCTCATGTTGGCTAACTTGCTACCAGTTAGCATTTGGTAGCTTTGACTTAATACATCCGTTGAAAAACTAAACATTTTGGGGCCCTCTCTCAGAATTCATTGGTTTGAATGAATATGAAGCTGAACGCACAAATTCATACTGAAAGACAGAGTGCAAATTCCCCCTTCCAAGCCAACCAATCAGACAGCTCTACCAGCCTCGAGCCTCTGCCAATCACACAGCACGGCCAGCGTCCTGCCATCCCTCTGACAGCAAAGTGGCAGTTTAAAAGGCAGCCACTTCCTGACAAGCAGCACTTCCTGGAGCTCTTAGCACCCACCACTTCCCCAGCATCTCCTCCGGCTACCCCTCTAGGCTCCCGCTCTGGCTCTCGCTCGAGGCTCCCGCTCTAGGCTCCTGCTCTGGCTCCTTCTCTGGCTCCTGCTCTGGCTCCTGATCCGCCTACACCCCATTCACACCATACTCTAGCCACCACCAGTACTTGACCCCGGGGGGTCTGAGATCATCTTCAGCTGCAATCGATCTCATCGCTGCAAGTGTCACTGCCGGGGTCAATACGCCAAATAAACAAATGATTTTAATGTATTAATTGTGTCTTTGGTCTCTTCAGATTGAATTGAATGAGAGCAGTCAAAATGACGGCTCTGGGAGTTCTAGTAGTTTCATGGTTGTGGGAGTCCTAGTGTTGACGTATAGATGAGACAGTAGAGTCAGTTTGTCTTGTGTTTTGTGGTGACAGGCCCGGCACATTGGATCCTCAGTGTCCTGGACTGAACTGCCGCTTGGTTTAACCATCTCTCTAATGCACCACACTTTCCTCTTCTGCCGTTTGGAAACTTAGACAGCATCCCTTAATTTCACCCTGATGTTGTATTTTGTCCCGTTTTCCTTTGGCCCGCACACTTGTCATGTATTTCTGCTTGCCTTAGGGGAATCTGAGGCCATTTCAGCAGTCTATCTGTGACACAGGGCTGGCTTATGTGTCAAACTGCACCAACGTGAAAAATAAGGGGCCCCTGTCCACACTTCTCTCTCTCCACCGTTTTTCCATCATTTATTCCACTATCTCTCCCCCAGACAAACTTTGCGGCTACTTGCTCTCATCAGAGTCTATTTCAGTGTTGGGTAAAATCCTTCACAAGTCGGTCGTGCGGTCTCATTGGTGGAAAAGCAAAATGTGTGGAGGTTGTCAGTTTTGTGGACATATTTCTACACTGAAGCAATAGGGACCAATTAAAAACTGGTAGAAGTTTTTAAAAAAGTTTTGGGATATGACCAAACATTGCATTCCACCTGTAATAGTATTTTAGTGCTGTGATTTCAGGATTAGCTGACAATAGTGAAATATGTATGCAGCACTACAACAAAAGTCAGCTGAATTGTATTGCCGTGTTGAAGCTATACTTATATATCAGTGTTTTTCAACTCGTGGGCCGCGGGATACGTTAGTGTGCTTTTAGATGTTGTTTGGTGTGGCCTTTGGAAATAATCCAGATTAGATAAGACTTTTTTTTTGCGGCTGTTTGATTTTCAATATAATATACTTGGATGAGAATGACTTTGCATTTTTTTAAGTTTCACGGTTGTAAAAGTTTTAGCTGGTGGTGTGCCATGTGATTTAAGTTGAGTGTCTATTTTCATTTTTTGTTTCAAGATCAATGTACATCAAGCCTTAATTATCTAATGAGATAAGATAAGATAAGATAAACCTTTATTAGTCTCACAGTGGAGACATTTCAGTGTCAATCATTCATTAGTTATATGAGTTATACTTATTACAACATTGTATATCACTCAAACTCAAAAAGAAGTAGGAGTAAGAAAAGTTGAATTGAAAAAGGTGTGCCACAGCTCAAATGGGTTGGGGGGGACACTGAGTTATATGAATATGAAAGTTTTGAACATTTATTAAAAATACATGTAATTCTAAATTGGGATCATTTGAGAAGTCCGTAAGACATGAAGAGCCAACATACATAATATGTTCACTACTTTTGTCTTTGAAAAAGCACAGTGATTCTTTTTCCTATCCTCTAAATATTTACAGCTATTTAATAATGTCCTGTTTGATTATCTGGTGTGAGTTCACTTTGTATTCTCACTGTTTTATAATGCCCAATGACAATGAAAGTGTTTGTATTTTAAAAGGCAGATCCGACCAGTTTTTTTATTACATTATCCCATGTTATTTAATGTGACAAAAGACAAAGCCATCTTCCCATACATTTGTTATATTCTGCGCTCAGCAAATCAAATAGAGGACCATCCATAAACCTGTATAGCCTATATACAAATGAATACTTCTAGAATCGCACGGCCATGTTTATTGTGTGTTCTTTACCTTTGGAGACTATACTGTATAAGCTTTTGAAGTTGGATGCCTGCTGATTTTTACAGCTGCAAATTTTCAAGTTGTTTACTGCTGTCGAAATGATGACACATCTCCTTAGCGTTACCCTGAGCGCCAACATGAAGGCAGCACGTAAAATATTTACCCTGTGTTGGGAAGTAAACAACCAGACAGCTTGAGCTTGTTGGGACCAATCACAAGTTCAGACATGAAAGTGAACGTGCGTGTGACATATGGGGAGGTGGGACTTAGCTTCTGACCTGCTTTGAAAATCTTTGCATTGAGGAAAACCAATGTCTCAATTGAATTTCCAAATCTAAAACTAATCTGTTATTGTTGTAAAAAAGAATACACTAATCATCCAAATAGAATTGCTTCTTGCACTGTAAAAAGTGTTGCTTTAATCAGAAACAAAAAAAAATCTCTAATAGGTTCAATCGGCCTTTTTGAGTACTATCAACTTTAGCTTTTTATTAAGTAATAAAGAATATTAAATTCAATTTGACAGAAAGCAAAACTATTTGAAGTGATGAATTTACTTAAAATGTTTGTGTCCTTTCAAAGCAAAACTAACTTGGAGATGATCAATATACTCAATATTTTTGTGTTCATTCAAAATGAAACTTTCTTCCACCTGGAGAAAGTTTGTTAGTTTTTGTAATCATTACATTGTGTGCTTTTGAACTCTGAAACTCTCATGCTGGGAAGTAAATGTGCTTGCACCCGTTCAGGACTTGATTTTAAACTAGCATCATGACCATTTTGTAGTATCTGATGTCTGATTTGAACCCAGGGAGTATAGGGGTAGTTTGGCCTGACCCTGTCGATCACGGTTGGTAAAAAAGAATACAATTACTTACTTGATCAAATTAGTTTATTCAAAATGTTGCTTAAGTATTTTGCTTTAGGACTTGCTTCATATTCACTCTTAAAATTAATGCTCAAATGTAGAATTTTTAAGAAGTTTATATATTGCTCTGCAATGCATTCTGGGTAGCATCACTGCTTCGCCACATTTTGTTTTCAATCAACACAATATATTTGTTTTGTCATTAATGGACCACCAGGCTTATTGAAGAAATATTTACAGTATTTTCACTTAAAGCAATAAAATCAGTATTGTACAGGGCACTATGATAATATTATACAGTACTTATTTGTTAACCAAAAATATAGAATATATAGTAATTACTTAAAATATTTTACATCAAAGTTTGGTCTGATTCACTTATTACAGTGTGTATATTTGCACTCATAGTTTCACTCACCAACATCATCGATAGTAGCTTACATTTTTTATTATGACTTTATAGTAGGTCCAACCAGTCTTCGTCCAAGGCGTCTTCAAATAGTTCTTCTTGTTCCTCCTCCTTGGTCTTCTTTAGCTCCTCCTTCTTCGCCTCCTCTTTCTCCTGTTTTGTGTTTGCCTCGTTTCCTATTTCCTGGTTCTGTTCTATCTCGACCTCAAACTCCTGGAGTAGAATCATCTGGCCCAGACCCTGTTCAGACTCATCTTCACTGCTGGATCCTAGGTCGCTCACATCACCGGCATCGTCATCTTGAGAGGTAAGAGGTTCCCCACAGCCCAAACATATCTTTGTCCGGTTAAGCAAGCATCCACCACAATACACAGCACTACAAGTCTCACACTTCACAACAGCCTCCGTGTTGAAACTTTCTTCACACGACATGCACCTTGTTTTCGCCCAACCCAGCGCTTTCAAAAGTCTTGAGACTCCTGGAAATCTGCTCAGACGAGACTGAATCCGTCCAATGTCTTGAATAGGAAGTGCCCTTAAGAATAAAGACCGTAGAGCATTTTTCTCCCATCGTCGCTGATCTATAATTCTGCTCCGGAAATGCAAAAGTCGCTTCTTCTCTTGTTGGGGATGGAACCAGGAGCAGATGACTCTTCTTGTTCTTTGGATGAAGCCCTGACAAACTGCAAGCAGGAAGGCCAAACCCAAAAGGAATCCAATAGTGACATTGGTGCTGACGTCCGGTTGTCGGGGCTGGACCACACACGCTCGACTGAAGACTGTCAGATTGTGGGTCTGGAGGATCTGAAAAGAGTGGACTAGGTCTCTGTATATGTCTGCTGCAAAACCAGTTCCATTCACTGTGACCTGGATCTGCACTGGAGGCCGCGCTATGATGTCTGATGAGGCCTGGTGCTGAACTTGTTCAAGGATCCAGAATATCAGGAAGTCCAGGGCCACACAGATCCCAGCAATCAGCACATTTCTCAACCAGGAAGACAAGGCTTTGAGGATGGTACACTTCTCCTGATTTGAAAGTTGAAAGGAAAATGGACTGATATAAACCCGAGATTCCCATGCCGTGATAGGGAGTACTGAAGTCCCACCCCCTGATGTCACACGATGGTCCAGTTCTTTGAAAGCGTTGTTTATGTAGATGTTGTCGAAATCCAGATTACGAAGGTACTTGCGCCTGTAGCGAGCCGCTTTGTAGTATGTCCACAGCAAAAATAGCACTGTAATGTACTTCAGAGGTTGATTGAACATCTCAAAAAGGTGAAACTTTGAAGATACTTCCTCCAGGATCTGCTGCGTCACTTCTTCAAGAGATTGGCTGCTGTTCACTTCCACATCAAAGGTCACAGAAGCATCCAGGTCAAAATCAAACTCCTGCTTCAGCTTTTCCAATGCCGACACCACCGGAGCTGCTAGACGGCTCTTCAGCTGCTCCGCCACGTACGATGGGATGACACAGAACAGCTCTCCTGCTTTTGCCAATTTGCACAGGGGTAAAAAGCCATCTACAACCTCACAAAGAAAGTCAAAATCTCCGAGGAGCTCCTTGCAGTCTAGCGTTGCTTTCTCAAAGAGCTGCCGGCACTTCTTGTAGGGGGCGCCCATCTCCTCATTGCAGATGTCTCCAATGTCAACAAGAAAGTGCAGCCGATTTCTAAGGGTCCAGGCAATATGGCGCACGTTATCAGTCAGGGCATTGATCAGGTTTTGTATTCGACCTGCAGTTCTGTAAGCATTGTTGCTGATCTCTCGCAAATTATCCAACATGGCGGAGAGAGGAGAGGCGGCCTTTCGGAGTAGCTCTTGTGTCTGATTGGCTGTAAGTTCAGCGGAGCAAAGGAGGCTTGATCCGACCAGTTCAGTGTTGTGCAGCGAGTTCGTGATGGGACCAGAGACTACGACTGAAACCAGAAAGAAATAGATCAGCTTCCTGCCATGGCCTGAGCAGAGTGAGGGCACCATCACAGCAGCATCAGCTCTAATGGTTTGTGAGAGTCCCATGCCAAAGCAGGAGACTCCGGTCACAACTGCCATCATGTAAGCACAGGTCCACACGGGGATCTTTTGGAGGAAAAGCAGCATGGAGCCAAACAGGAGCGAGAACAGCAGTCCAGAGCTGAATCCAATCAGAGATGAGAGGGTGGAGGATGAGATCAGAGAGGAGATGACGGAGGAGAGGATAGAGCCAACACGCCAGCGCCGGACCACCAACTGTCTCAGGACTCCCTTCTCTCTTCTTTTGACTTCACCAGAAACACTCAGCTCCACTGTTATCACTGTCATTTTGATTTTCAATTGGAAATATATTTAGAGGAAAACTCTTGGTTTGGTCTATGTTTAAAATCAATTTTTCTTGTTACTACGGAAACACTTCAACACAAAGTTATGGATTCATTTGAAATTAATGGCGCTTGATTGGTGCCTCTCATCCATGTTTCTTTATCAGGGAGGAAGAGAGCATGGGTTTCATGATATTAAGAAGGACTTCAACAATCTAACTATTTAAAAAAATATCAGATTTGTTTGTGAATGAAAATGCAATTACAGAGGGCATAGTTTATGTTGCCGCGGTAATTACGGAAGCCATCATGCGTTTCTGATGGGTCATGCGTTTTTGACAGTATCATACAATTGATATATTCTGTACAGTGTCATATAATCATATTTGTGTTCCTGACAGAGTAGTGAAACTGTTTGTCAGAACATTTTTTCTCTGGATTGAAAATAATATGATTTATTATTAATGTAATTCTTTTGCCTATTTCCATTTATCTTTGTAGCTTGTGATGATTGACACAAAACTTGAATTTCCCTTGGGATTAATGAAGCGTATATGTCTATTTTCAAATGACTTTAATGTCTCCGTCTTTGCTGGAGTGTATTGAAATGAAAAATGACATTACATGGAGTGAATGAAAATGATAAACTATTTGATTAGCATTGTGTTAGTGAAAAATGGGTCAATTACGATTTTTTTTTTTAGATTGTCACTCCATAGTCTCACTCACATCTAAACATTCACGTCCAGTCAGTCACTTCACAGACCTTTACAGAACTTGTTTATCCGACTCTTATTGCGTCACCGACGGAACGCTCAATTAAAAGGGTTACAGTTGTGTTTCGCGACTTCTGTTGTTGTGGGTGAAGGCTTTATCTCGCAACTCCTGATTACCATATTCCATCATGTTAGACAAACAGAAGACAATGAGGGCTGTAGGGACGAGGGGCGGGATGTGAGCCGGGCACAAAGACATCAGTGCCTTTGGACGTCTACACTGCTGGAGAAGCCCCTCATTGGATATGCATTAGAGATTGATAGAGTTCCAATGTTGTTAGAGAAGCTTAAATGTTCATGTGCTTGATATTTGCGGGAGCATGAACAATCCGGTCTGCGTAATGGAAAATGAGAAATTGGTTATCGGATGGTGCCAATGAATATAGGGCTTTCGCTATGTACGGGGTTGTTGTCATTAAGGTTTTCCATTTGCCATTGGTCACAACGAGTATTCTGTATTGATTACATAGATTTGAATGTACAGAAATGGTCTATTTTGAGAATGAGCTGAGGGATTTCAAATGACTGCAGAATAATCTATCAGAGGTGGGTAATACTAGGATCATATAATAAGTTTTGATACCGATACTCCTTCAGTTAAATCTGGAGAACTTTCTGTGAGATGTGCGAGAGGCCAAAAATATGTAAACAGAAAGTCACAAACTAGGAATTTGTTTTTGGGTATATGGTGCACACAAGTTATAAAAAAGTAAAAACTAGGGATGGAGCCAAACAGGGTTGAAGGAAAAGTTCTAGACATAGATTTAATTGTAGCTTTTTGTTGTTAATGATCATAGTTAATTCATTGTGAAGTCTTTAAAGAATCCTGTGATAACCCTCAAGATGTTAAAATGTTAATGTCAAAAATAAATCCAATGTTATGTCCAGACATTTTTAGTTCAGTAATATCCTCCCAGAAACTAAGCACTTTGCGTTCCCGTCTGTATGAACTGTGCTATACAAGTAAATGTGCCGTGCCTTGCCTTGATATCATTTGTCTGAAGTAGCATTGGACACATTGTAATACTCTATAGGTAATTCTGCTTAACAAAGACATCTCACTTGCCCAACCATTTTGTACCCGTGCAATAGAACAAGTGTGTTGCCGAGTAACAGACAAGTAAGAAGTTTGAATCGTCTAAATTGGGCTCCTCTCTGACAGCGACTGGAGCTGAACATGGATTTCTGGAACGCCACAATCCGCTTGATTTTTTTCTTTGAATTTATATTTTACTATTTCAATTCATTGTAATATGTTCCCAAAAGCAATTTTTGTTTGTGTGTATGCTCTGTCTTTTGTCTCACATCATTGTGGCCTGAACATGAGATTTTTTTTCTCTTTATTTTTCTCTCTCTAATGGGTCTGGACTGATGAGGACTCAAAGGAACAAGGATTCAGGAAACTGAAATACTGCGTTTGTCATTAGGAGGAAATGCACTTACATGGACCAACAAAGCACTAGGTGGACTGGAAACGGACCATCCATGAAAATCTACTGATAGGATTTTTAGGTCCATGCATCCATCCATTTTCTTCCCCTTAATCCATTTCTGGGTCAGGGGGTGGCAGTTAGAGCTGCACCCAGTACACTTAGCACCAGATATTTAGGTCATTTCAGTGAATACAGTTAGTGATCTTTCTATATCTCAATATACATGGTATGATACAATATGTGTGTAGACATAGGGGATTTTCAGTTATACTGTAAAGTATTCGAAATGATACGTAAACTATATACAAAAGGCTTTTGGTCTCTTATCTAACGCTCCGCTTCATTTTAGCGAAAACACAACACTATTGATGCATTCATATTTAACTCCTTGAAGATGTTATCAAAATGCAAAATATAAAAAATAAAAAGATAGATTATTATGACATTTTAAAATATCTATAATATTATATACACATTTATCATTTTCATTTATTTATTTTGAGCACAGCCCTAATTTCTGTAAATGGTAAAATCAGTTGTTTCAGGGGTATATTCTGGTGTGATTGACTAAAGGCACGTTGAAACTGTCACAAACATTGTATCATTGTCACTTGTTAATCACCACAAATGTAAACCCGGCCAAAGCCACGGACCGTCTTCCACCATTTCATCCCATCTACTCACTAACATGTATAAAACCATTCATAATCCAACCAAAAAATCTAATTACATCTTCATTCATTAAAAAGGTACCCGGGAAGGTCCGCGACAGAGACAAACGATGCAGGACGTCCCATCAAATTAGTGAAACTTGACAGAGCTGTTCACAATGCGGCACATGGCGAGCCTAATAAAACCCTTTCTCTGTGTAAGATGTCCAGAATGAAATTTGGCTTTTCCAACCACCGCAGGAAAAAAAAAAGCTACATTCAGGCAACAGGGCATGGCTTACTGGATATTAAGACTTTATGGGGGCTTAATTTAGCACGGACACTTTTCTTCCGGATAATACATTATAAAAATTGGTATAAATGAACAGTCTTGTCTTGGCTCGTTCGCTGGTGAACTGCAATTCGATGAACAAAAACACAAAGCGGTATGAAACTGTGCCCTTAGTTCAAAGCAGCTTCAATCAGGATACATTCTCTGCTTGATGAATAATTGAGGAAGTAGCAGCTAAAACAGCCAGGAGTCCTATCTTTCTTTTTTTTGTGGCAGCATTTGCATGAATAAAAGACAATTGGCCCGTGGAGTTGTCTGTGTTTGGGTTACCATTTCGTGATACATCTTGAGTGGTTTAGTGCTTTGGGTGGATTTTTATTTTTTTTACTTCCCCCTCTGCCTGGCTTTTTTTTTTTTCTTTCTAGGGTTTTTTTTTGGTGTTGTAGCCCTTTACCATAAGCGTGAGCCTCATTATTTATTCATGGGAGTGTGCCAATGGCGATTAGCAATATCTAGTAGTTAGTCTGGTTTTGAGGATCTATTTCACAACATTCAGCAGTATGCAATCACAGACAGTAAACATCACTGCAGGCAAAGTCTGATGCCAGGGTGGTGGTGTGATAGTGGTGGGGCCGCACAAAAATAATAAAAATATGTTTTCAAATTCAAACGCTGCATTGGTCTCGGAGATAAGAAGTTGGGTGCTCCGACTTGTCTGCGCACATGTGCTTTTATCTCTGGAAGTCCACATTTTAATCCAATCAAATCCACTTTAATTATATAGCACATTTTATAAAACACGCTTCCAAAGTGCTGCACAGATAAAAGTAACAGATTAAAATATACAAGTGTGCCAAAATAAAGTAAAGAACAATTAAAATAAAGCAATTAACTATATACATAAATAAACATAAAATAAATACATAAAATAGATAAAATAAATAAAATAAATGAAACAAATAAAAAGAGGACCACACAACTCATGCGGTGTTAAAAGCCAGAGCGTAAAAATGCGTCTTAAACTTAAAGACTTAAAGCATTCCAACGAGGGAGCAGTTTTGACAGGGGGGGGGGGGGGGGGGGGGGTCTTGTCTTAGGTACCACGAGCTGGAGCTGGCCCTCGGACCTCAGCGCACAGGGCGGGTAGTCCGTTCAAAGCTTTAAAAACAAACAATAAAATCTTAAAATCAATTCTAAAATTAACAGGAAAGCAAAGAAGCTAAAATTGGAGAAATGTGCTCACGTTTTTTGGTTCCTGTTAAAAGCTGTGCCGCGGAGTTCTGGACTAACTGTAAGTGTGACAGTGCTTTCTGTGATATCCCGCTGTAAAGTGCATTACAGTAGTCCAGACGTGAAGAAATAAAAGCGTGCATGACTTGTTCAAAATGTTTAAAAGATAGAAAAGACTTTACCTTAGATAATAGACAAAGGTGATAAAAGCCTGATTTCGCGACTGTGCTGATCTGCCTGTCAAGGTTAAAATCACTGTCCATGGTGATGCCAAGGTTGGTGGCAAAGGGATGGACATTATCCCTGAGGGGGCCCAGGTCCAATAGGGGATCTGTGGGCCCAAACAAAACAATATCTGTTTTCCCCTCATTCAGGCACAGAAAGTTTTGGGCCAACCAAGCCTTGATGTCACCAAGGCAGTCCAGCAGGGGTGTCAGGGGGCTCTTTTGTTTCTTGGAGATGGGCATATAGATCTGGCAATCGTCTGCATAAAAGTGGTAAGCAATGCCATACTTTCTAAAAGTGGCACCAAGTGGGAGGAGGTATATTGAGAATAGGAGTGGGCCAAGAATAGAACCCAGGAGGACTCCACAGTGTAAAGGAACGGCAGAAGAGGAGGAGTC